GAACTCAAAGAAAGAATAAATATTGTTGCAGCTACTTCAAACAAAGAGTGCCCACTATAACTTCATGGCACCAAAGAACAAACATTAAAGATAAACATTTACATTCCAGGCAATGACCCAAGTAGAATACTACTGTAGCTTATGTCACTTTCTGAAATAGCGTTGTGTAAGCTGTGCTCTGAGAGGAAAAAACACCAAGCCTGCAAAGACCAAAACAGCAACAAATTCTGTCTCTGTGTTGCATACACACACGAAGCAGCCTCTGGAACCACTTCATTGAGAGAAACGGAGGTATGTAACAGCTTCCAGCTCTCTCTGCCAGACCACATAAAGTTGTAGGACAAAACATTCAGAAGCTCGGGCAGCCAGAACTGATCCAGAAGGCATTCTACATTACTCTTCTGAAAATACGAAGTCAGTTTTTAAATTTTTTTTAAAAACACATGTATAAATTTGGGTGGCTTTGGCAACACAAGTTATACATAGACTGCATTCTGAAAGTCACTGTTATATACAACCATTTCTCGTGGGACTGAGCTGCAGCACACTAGAAGTCAAAAAGTATCTACTGGAATATCTCCAAGCAACAAGTTACTTCACTAGGCAGCATTTTAAAATATATCTTAACTGTAGAAATAAAGACCACAAGCACAGGTGAGTTGTTGAAAATACACAGCCTCCATCTGGCTGTAGAGCTCTTGCTATTTGCTGTACAAGAAAACAGAACTCAGATTCATCCATGTGAGAACAGAAAGGCCCCAAGACCAAGTCAGTTTTGCATTTTTTAAGCCAAAAGCAGAATTTGACCAGCATTATCACTTAGCTAACCAACCACTTAGCAGTGATTCCACACTGAATCACTAAGCTGAGCAAAGCATGCCAACTAAACAGGTGGTATTATGCAACATCAACCTTCTATAAAACCTCTACCCATTTAAAACAAATTTTCATCTTAGCTTTGATGAAACATCTTCAACCTTTGGAACAAAACAGCACAGTCCTACCTTCATGCTTTATTATACTGAAAAGCTAAAGCTGTCCAAGCAACAAAACACAATTTCATGTGTTTATTATACAGTTTAGTCATCATATCATGTGTTACAGTCTTCTCTACTAGTCATGCAGTCATTCTGTGAACACTTAATTTTGCCCCTCTGCCCTCAAAAAACCCCCAAGCTGGTTTTTTTCTGAAGTACTGAGGGAATAATCAAAAAGACAGCTCTATTTGTTCTAGCAGCTCATTTAAAGTTCTAGCTCTAATCTCATTATTTCATTAGAAAGTATGAACAACACACATTTGTAATAGTTACTGGAAAATGTTTAATAAATTAGCTCACATTTAAGTATGACATTCAAGAATCCTATAGTCAAAGAAATAAGCTTTTGAACATAGGGATCCCGCTATTACTGCGTTTTAGCTAGCACTACTTTGAGTAAAATTTGCTATTGATATTATCAAGTTACTTCAAGTTAGCAAGCTAACAGAACAAACTTCCTTCTCTGTAGTGTTTTGGTTGAGATAATTCTTTGTTGCACAGCTTTTCTACACTTCAAATTTGCTGAATTCAGAGGTACTCAAAGAGTATGTTGGAGTATAAAGATTACCAGCTAAAATACACATCTCTTGTGATTTTTGCAACTGTTTAAATATCCAGTGCCTCTTGCTACTTATTTGCAGATGAGACAGAAGTATGTGAACTATACCACAACCTAATCCGACTGAAGCACACGTACAAGCACAATATGGCACAGACATCAGTCAATTTTCCCAAGCTGCTGGTCAAAATCAGTTCTGAAAGCTTTTACACCCAATAATCTATTTTTGATAAGAGTCCTGGCAAAAGCAAAGCAGTCCCAAACATTAAACCTTCTCATCAGTTCCTCCTCCATCACCCTGCCAAAGGGAAGATCGTACATCGGAAGCAGAAGGCTGTGCCTTGGCACACTGTATCTGCCACTCCCTCCTTTTGCCCAGCTTCAAATATTCTGCCTTCTCCTTTCAAAGGTCTCTTTCTAAATAGCTATTCAAGTGGCTTATCATACAGGAGAGAAGCATAATAAAGCAGAATGTTTTAATAAAAGGAAAAGCAAAGGATGAATGCAGCAAGCAAACAAAACAGACCAATGCTGTGCAGCCTACTCCTTCTCCAGGCAGCCAGAGATCCTATATATTTTCACCTCCCAGCTGGGGTCCTCTGCCTAGCAGGGACAGATGGGACAAGGGGAGGGTAAAGGAAATTGAGGGGCACTGGCAGCAGCGAGGGCAAGAAAATTCACAATCAGGGAAAAGGTGTAGCACAGGTCTACTTTTTCCTCCTATACTTGCAGCTATTTTTGCAAAGTTACATACCAGTTCAAACAGTTTAAAATGGGTAGTTAAAAAAGATGCAATGTCACAAAAAATAAAGGCTTGCAGATTCAACTTGTAAGAGCTAGGGTTATGTGTGAATTTAAAGCTGAGAGGCAAGGAATACTGACACTGTACAGACAAGACCCAAAAGGTAACAGTCAAAGCTGACTCCGTTTGTTTCATTCATCCACTGTAATAATTACAAAATGCTCAGTGCTAAAAAGTCAAAAAGATTAAAAAATCTCGAGTAGAAGAGCTACTTGTTACAGACTACTGTAGTTACAACTGCACATGGTTATGAGGTAAACTTACAGGTTAAAAAAAATAAATAAAGAAAACTTACCTCGTGGAATTCTTCCTGTTCCCTGGCAAGTCGGGCAGGTGACGCTGTCTCTTCCTGTGAATTCCACGTAGGGAAACTGTGAAACATCTCCAGATCTACCATCTTCATTGTGTGATTCCGAGTGAACTAACCCATTCCTCATATTATCAGACACTGTGCCTCCATCATAGCCATCTTCCTTGCAGGTATTCATAGGCAGGTGAGAAAGTGATTTTCCCATGACTAAAATAAAAGTCAGCATAAAGTTTTCAGGGAGAACAATTCAAACATGGCTTGCATTTATTCCTCTGCATCAGGTAACTGTTAGTCTACGGTCATTACTCAGGAAAGACTCCTGCTGCCCTCTGTTTAGACCCCTTAGGACCTGCAAAGCACTAAGGCCGGGTCAAGCTGCAGTCAATCCCAACCCGTAGGAACCTGAACTGGGAGCTTTGTTCAGATCCTCCAAAATGCACAGGTTGAAGGGGGCTTGACAAGGGTTTTTAAGATAGAACATGCTGGCAAAAGGTTGCAACAGTCTAGCAGTGTTTTTCAAAGGATTGTTATCATACAGACTTTCACACAACACCTTAATCTTTGTACAAAAAGAATTGAAAACTGGGCTCTAGACAGCAAGCTTGCAATTTTCAGTGGATTCTACACACACCACAGACCCAATTCTAATAAGCTTTTTAGGTTGGACTTGTTTTGAGAACACAGGATCAGCTACTAGTTTCCAAGCTAGAAATACAGATCTCCAGGTGTTTAAATTGATAATTCCCTTTAACCCCAAAGAAGACTGGTTCACAGGAAAGCCAAGGAAAAACCAGGAGCTACTTTAACATAGCTCCTGGCAGCATGTAGCATTTATAAAGACTTGTTAGAAAAAATATTAATCACAAAAGCATTTTTGCTACCTATACAAATTTTAAAATTTTCTCACTAGTGTAGCTTTTCAGCCGTGACACTGAAAAGACCTTGAAACACAGAACACTTGAAACTAAAGACTGTAATGAAGTGATGCAAAGAGAAAACTTTCTAATTTGCAACAGGTAGAAAACAAACTCAAAGTTAAAAAAATAAACCTACACAGCAGTGGCAATAAGTTGTCTAGCTCATCCCCATAACCTGTTTTAGTCAACACACAGAGACACCACCCACTCAATACACCAGGGTTTTGGGGAGCAGAATGACTTAAAAAGTGTATGTAAAACTTCAGTTTTTTCCATTGCAAGTGGCATTTTTAAAGCAGCTGCTAGCAATTATCATGTCGGTTCACTGAGAAAGGAAGCTATAAGATGAAGATTAAGCGAGTAAAACAAGTCAGCATATTTTAAACCAACCACTCGACAGAACAGAAAGATCTCAAATACAGCAATTGTAACACAAGCACAACATTAATTCATTACATTGTCACAAAAGCCAGGTGAATGTAGGAGCGGGAAAGTAATTCAAGTAATTCAGTTACCACTCCAGCAAATATACAGCGTTATTTTATTAATTTAAGTCATTAAACCCTTACAAGAAGGAAAACTATTTATCCGTATTCTGCTACAGTGCTTTTTAAACATTCTAAGTCTGGAAGCCATCCAACAATGGAAATTGTTGAATTGAAAATTAAAACTATTGAGCTACCGAAAAAAAATTCTGAAAAAGCTGTTGACAGCGTTGATTATTAGATTACTCCACGTGGGGCTTTTGCTTACTGTTCTGTAGCTGACCTACAGCCTTTAAACTACGAAATTTGAGTCTTGCAGCTTAGGCAATAGCTATCACAGTTATATGTCTGAAAGCTTAGGGAACACAGTTGGTGCTGTTATGCTACAACTGTATTCAACTTACCTGCATTAGATTATTCCACGTGGGGCTTTTGCTTACTGTTCTCCTTGTAGCTGACCTACAGCCTTTAAACTACGAAATTTGAGTCTTGCAGCTTAGGCAATAGCTATCACAGTTATATGTCTGAAAGCTTAGGGAACACAGTTGGTGCTGTTATGCTACAACTGTATTCAACTTACCTGCCCTACTGATGGTAGACTCAGCCTGTGTCCACACAGACAACTAAATACAGAACAAGCAGCCGCTCCACAGAAATAAAGTTATTGAGGATCTGAAATCCACACTATACCTGTTTTTGTGCGTTTATTTCACACTAGCTCTTGTCCATCCTGACAACACCCACTCACAACTGAACTGCACCTTCTAGTTTTAGCTTCTTCCAAAAGGAAGAGTTCACACGCTCCCAGATCACACTGTGACATGAACCAAAGCGCAACAAGCAAGGATGACTGGGAACTCATTTCAAAAGCATACTCTTTATTTGAATTAAAATGCTAATGCAAATGTATCCTCCAATGTCAACTGTACCTAAGCTTCAATAATTAGAACGTAAGTACTCTTAAATTCAAGTCCAGAGACTTAGGAGAGACATCTCAGTTCACAAATGAGAAAACAGACAACCACCTTCAAGTGAAATGTGTTCCTCCAACATGCTTTCCCTTCCCAAAAAAGCACTAAACCTTATTACAGCTGACCAAGACTCAAGAACACTTTGTTCTTTTATCCAGCACTTACATGCTGAACAGTAGTAGTTCTGAAAATTAATCATCTTCACATGTGACAGCCTCTACACTATCACCAGAGTCACAAATCCTACTTCCTTAACAGCTGTGCTTTGACCCAGTCTCTCCTTCATAACCGATGTATACACTCCAGTCTCCTTGGACTGGTCTGGATTTTCCTTGAACGCAGTCTGTTAGAAAGAGTTTGGTACATTAAAAAATGTTGTGATAAGCAGCTTTTGTTTAAGACTGTGCCCTTCAGCTTGCTATGGCGCTGCAGCATGATAGCACCTAGGCAAAACCCAAACAACGTTCCAGGCACACAGAACCACCACATCCCGAGTTATGTGC